ATGCAAAGAACACCCGGGGACCTGTTAGGCACACGTCAAGGAACCCCAGGTGGTAGAAAATAATCCGGAGCCCTTCACTATGGCGTGCTTCGTAACCATAATCGGCATGTGAGGTACTCGCAATTATTATTGCCCCATTCAAAGGCGTCTTTCGACTATGCATATGTTCACGATTACTCTGCTTCTTAAGTGCGTGGGACTACGGGTCCGACTTGGTGTTCATATATAGATCTCATGTGACCTAGTCAAGTTCACAATGAAGTGCTCAATAAAGGCCTAGAAGAAGGCTGGCAATGCTCAAAATCACTTCAATAGAAGTGAAAGAGGTCTAAAATAGCAAGAATAACAAAAAATTACCCTTGATTCTGCTAAAGGCAACCATGAGTACCACGCGAAGCAGCAAAAGGGTTGACTTGAAGTTACATTCATTACAGGCACTCTGCTTAATGTTAGCTCAACCTTGCAAGTGGGACACGCCATGAAATTACTCGTAAACAGTTCTTCTGTCAAGCTTGAGTGACTTGTTTTTAGCCAGGCTTGACAAAACCGTTTCCGGTGACCTTTGTGACAACCGAATAATGCGCATTTTTAGATGTGTTGACGACTTTCTCATTCTTATTGATTGTGACTTCATGTCCTGCGCCCTAGATATCATCAACCTCATCATCAAGTGTTTCAAACCCTTTGTTTTAACACACGAGTTGTCTGTTTTTAGCCATGTCAGGTTTTTAGATGTAGCTCTCATTTTTCACCAAGACCACACTTGCTGGACGTACAAGCCAAGGACCAACAAACCCCTGCTTTCGTATCACTGTGGCCCCACAAAACTCGTAAAAAGAGGCACTGTAGACTTGTGCTTTAGAAACGCTTTACGAAAGTCTTGTCCACATCTAATGACAGCTAGTTTTAAAGAGCAAGCGGAGCGACTTTTGAATGCTGGCTGCCCCTTTTACATACAAAATTCTGCCGCAAAATTTTGTCAAGAAGCTTCAGACCTCAAAACAAGCCCTCGCCCAGGTTGAGCCATTAAGGCCTCAGAAGCTTCCCGTGTATAGTTCCTTACCTACATGGAGTGTCCCACAACTTGAAAAACGTTGGGGAGCGGGCCACTGTAAAGGTGGTTTTCTCTGCCCCGAAAAAGTTGTCGTACTTGAGAATGAAGGTTATTTGTTTCACATGGAAAACCAGGTCGTTCTAAAAGGCACAAAACCCTGCTTGTCACGCGCGCAGGAAATATAATCAAAGACCTCTTCCAAGTGGTTAGAATTACATGGGACAAACTAATCGCTGTACTAATGAGCGGCTCCGTGAACATGCTTGCAACGTAAAGAATGCTCGCGATGGTTTTTTGGCACTGCACTGCAGCACGTGTGGCTGCAAACCACCTTTTTCACAATACCGTGATCGTTGCTAAAAACAGAAATAAAATCACAAGGAAGATAATGGAGGCAGAGAGGATTTGTAGATTAAAAATGAACTGCATCAGCACTCCCTCTTCCGCTCTTTGCCGAAAAGAATTGCCCCTCCTATGGTTGTACACTTTCGCACATGAAAACTGTGGGTTTCAAAATAGTTTTCATCTGTTTCTTCCCATTTCCTGAGTATAAATGTGTGCGCTCTTCAAAATATATTTTTTTGGAAGTTAGCACTCCTCCTTGTCCCATGTCTCACAGTTTTAACGCACAACGTTATTAGTTATGTGTCACCAACACGCCCGAATTCATACTCTTGTAACGTGTATATGAGTTGCCAGTGGTAGCGATTCAGTAAGGAAATTGTTTTTATAAAATATGCGACACTCACACGAGATATTTCTACGAACAACGTTCCGTGCAAGAGTTTGAGGAAAAAGGTCAAGGCACCCTCACCCCACTTCCTAACTAACTCTTGCGATCGCTAAACGTTAAGGTGGTGCATGAACGCTAGTGCGTTGAGACACGTTTGATCAAATTCAAGTATAAACGTAGGCATATACAGGCTGTCCCACATAGCGGGAGCCAAGACGTTGAAAATCAGACACTTCTCAAAAAACATCTGGGTTTTAACGTACCGAAACCACGACATGATTATGAGAGACGCCGTAGTGGAAGCCAGAATTTCGACCATCTGTTGTTCTTTAGCGTGCACTGACATAGAACAGTACGTGAGACTCTACCATTTCATCTTCATGAAAACGTGGCCGCCGCGGCCGGAGTCGAACCCGCAACCTTTGGGTCAGCAGCCGAAATGAAAGGCACTTCAGAGGCAAATTGAAGCAAACGTATACTACTCGCACCAGCATATATAGATACTCAGGCTATTTTATTTCCCCGCAAACTAGCTAATTGAAATGTTTAAAACGCAACTTTTTAAATATAGGCTGAAAACGCGAATATGAACGCTGAGCTGAAGAGAAGTTGCAGAAACAACAGACTATAACCGAACCCGTAACAGCTAACGGTCATAACTCGTGCTATCGTTTTGTAGCGCCAGGCGTATACCGCAAGGCCCCATCCTTGGACCTTTACTTTTTCTAATTTACATTGATGACCTTCCATCCTGCGTTACCTCCACAATCAAGATATTTGTTGATGACTGCGTAATATACCGCGTAATCACGAACTCACTTGATTCCTCTAGAGTACAATCTGCTCTGTTTCATGAAATGAAATATTAATAAATACAAACGTGGATGTAAGGGGGATTTCAAGCCCCACCAAAACTTTAAAATTTTACTGTATATACACACACACATAAAAAACCACACGCGAACAGATATAAAATGTGATTGAACACCCCCTCCCCCTCCCCCAGAAAAAAATTTCTGGCTACGCCCCTGAATGCTTACTTTACTTGGACGACACCATTGGATGATTCGCCATGGTAGCTTAGCACGTGACGCGTCCATCAGTGGGTTTGATACCCGCGGCCACGGCGGCCGCATTTCAATGGGGCCGAAGTGCAAAGAACACCCGGGCATTTATTAGGCGCACGTCGAAGAACCCCAGGTGGTAGGAAATAATCCCGAGCCCTCCGCTAGGGCTTGCCTCGTAATCATAATCAGCACGTGAAGCACTCGCAATTATTATTGCCCCATTTAAATTAGGGTCTGCCGAAAATTTACTGTCTGTATTACACCTGCTCGTTCAATTACTATTCCGTTGTCATACGTCAATACTTATAAGGAGTTGACATAGCTAACAATACATCGTATAATACTCATAACTGCGCGATTAACAATGCGAGCTGTATTCTCTGTTTATTCCATCTTGACTTTTTGTGGGATGCTGTTTCCTTAAAACGTCTTTATAAAATATAAAGATGTTTACACCCGTGTCTAAACTCGAGTACGCCACTGTAATACAAAATTCTCACTTTCGGAACGCACTTAAATACACCCAAAATCGTTCAGCTCGTTTCATCGCTGCTAATTGCTGCCTTACACTGGCAGTAACACTTAAAAAAAAAGATGCTCTAGACCTCCCGACCTTTTGTAACAGAAAGAAGCAAGCCCGCCTACGTGTCTTGCACATAGTCATGATGATGAATCCTGAAGTAAAACGCACATTGTTTTCCCCAATTTCTTGCGTTTCATCTCGCGTCGAACATAACTTCAATGTTCAAATGCAGTATTGCCAGTCCTACATGCATTTTCACTCAGACATGTTCATCTGAATGGAATCACCTACCTGCCTTCATCGCCAGCAACCCTGATCATGCACCATTAAATCAAGACTTCCACATCAAACTTCTGACGCCACTCCACTGTGTAACGTCGAAAACGATATTGACAATAACAAACAAACAAACAAACAACTAAAGAAAGAAAGAAAGAAAGAAAGAAAGAAAGAAAGAAAGGAACAAACAAACTAATGAATAAAAAAACCGAAATTAAGAAAAATATTACAGCATATCCACGAAGTGATTGATGATGAGTGGAACGAAGCGCTGGAAGGTTTCATTGCTAAACCGTGAACCATCTGCGAATATTGTTCACTACATCATCAAATACGTTACAAACCCTGTATATATTTATACAAGAAATTTTATTATTCGTAAGTGGTCGCTTATACGTCGCTTCCGTTCCCCTTTCATTACAACGGCTTTATGGTCGGTGAAGAACGGTGATGGTGATGGAGCGTAGTGGAACGTTTGCTAAAACGAGATTGTGGGCAGTTTGCAAAGTTTGAACCATAGGTGGTCACGTTCAAACAAGGGACGGACACAGTGGGACAGTCTATAGCTCTTGAGCGCACACCTGTATACAAGTAAAGAATCATCTTGAATTTCATATTAGCTACTTCTAAACGGTATTTGCTTTATCGTCGGTGAAGCAGTGGATCGGTGATGAAGCGTAGTGTGTTGTTGGCAAGGGCAAATTAGTGGGCAGTTGGCAAAAATGGAACTATAGGTGGTCACGCACATACATACAAACGATAGACAGACCCACGCCTTTAGGAGCTTCGCCCCTAAAACAAGAGTACTGGATTTTTTTCTATAGTCTTAGTTTCCTTCACCTTGGGTTGCATCGTTGTCTTTTCCTCAGATTGATTGTTCGACTGATTGAACTCTCCTGAAAGATGACAGAAAAACAATCAATTGAAGCTTATTCTACTGAATGTTTCTAGGAGAACGCTTCAATGAATTTATTTTCTGGTTGTGTCTCCTGTTACATAGAAGAAAGTGTCATTGGAAATGCAAAAGTCGCGCCGGTGTTTGCCTGGCAGCGCAGCCGAACACGTCTTACGTGTTTTCAAGCGAGTGCCCTTCGTACCGGACAGGCGAAACTTTGACCTTGTCGAAACGTAATCGACTCAACAACTCCTTGTTGCGCGATTTCCGTTGGGGCGGTGGTCGTTTTCTTGGTTTTCCTTTTGGGTGTGTGCGTGCGTGTGTGTGCGTGTGTGTGCGTGTGCGCGCACGTGTGTGTGTGTGTGTGTGTGTGTGTGAGAGAGAGAGAGAGAGATTCCTTGTTTTTCTCTTTTTCACATAGCTCGCTGCTCGGGTGTCTACATTTATGATAGAGACTTCGGTGGCTTGCCGCGAGATGTGGGCGTAAGACACTCTATAACCGCTTTTTTGACACGCCATTCTCGTACTTGCCTGTGAGTATTTACAACAAGACGTTGTTACGTACAGATTCGTCGCAGGTGCTTTTTTCCCCGCGGTTGTCGCGAAACGACTCACTGCACGGCGAAACAGAAAAAGAAAGATAGGATCGAGTATTAGACTTCTCGGTGAGTGCAGAATTTGCCACTTGTACGACGTTTTTTATTAAGGGTGCACATTAAATATCTCGTGAGTGCCTGAAAATTATCGATTGTCGCGAGACTCTCCTAAGAGAATATATGATCTCAAAAGAGAGTCAACATGCCTCTTTTAATAGAGTCGTGCACGTATCAAGTCAGGAGTCACTTAGGGAAGAAGTCAAGAGTCAATTCATGTCACAGCGGATTTGAGAAGTGAAATAATATGTTTATGTTACGTTGCCAGATACGTACCTATGGCCCATTTTCCTAAATACCCACCACCACGAAAAAAAAAATACCTGACGCGCTTACCCGAAAACCGTCATCAGCCATAACTGGCACTCACCTAAGTAAAAATAAATTTTACTTTCAGGCCTGTGCCCCAAAAACAGGTCCCACCGACCCAAAAGCGAACGTTTTCACCACTAGGCTACGCGCCCGTGCCTGCTCATTATGTATGAAAGGGAAGCATACGAATGCTTTTTATAGCGACGATGCCAGAAAAGCAGTTGGGAAGCGGTGCACTTGGTTCACTCGGCGCTTCATTGAATTACTTATGCGAAAACCTCGGATGCCTCAGCAAACTCGAAAACTGACCATTGACGTTGACTCATTCACACACTGATCACTCGGGAATTGACTGACAATTCACTCTCTCCACTCACTCACTTTCTCACTCACTCCACCCACTCACTTCACATTCTCTCACTCACTCACTTCACTTAGTCTCACTCCCTCACATCACCTTCACTCTCTCACTTCACTTACTGTCACTCACTCGCTCTCTCATTTCATTTAGTCTCACTCCCTCACATCATCCTCACTCACTCACTTCACTTATTCTCACTCACTAACTCACTTCACTTAGTCTCACTCCCTCACATCACCCCCACTCACTCATTTCACTTTGTCTCACTCCGTCACATCACCCTCACTCACTCACTTGCACACGCGCGTTCAAACACACACTGGTACAAGGGTCACATACGCGCACGCACGCACGATGTTGCAAGGGAGTCTGCAAATATTTCATACTTAAACAGTTACGCTTTACACGCACACACGCACCTTGAACGCCTTCGTCCTGCTACATGAAAACCGGTTCCATCCGGTGCCTCACACTAAACGTGTGAACGCCGGCGGCTATACCACGAGACTGGGCACGCCCACAACTCTCTAACTAAACACCGCACTGGCAGTAATCCTGGCGTCGCGTAGACTCGCCAATTTGATCGTGTTGACTTGCGCCAGCCGGACTAAAGATGCGTCGACTGTCACGGCAGGGATAAAAACATGCCCATTGGAACACGCCTCTTCCTCGTGGCGCTTTTGAATAGGAGTCGGAGGTGATGCCAACGTTCGACAGCTTTTCTTGGCAGCGCTCGAAGTGCACGTAGCGTACCCGGTGTGTCTCGTTTTTGTACAGATACAGACAGGCGATTGTTCGCAGGGAGACCTGGGAATGTGTTCGACGAGGCAAAATTGAACTCACCGGAAGCATCAGTGTGGCCAGTCTTCTCCGTAGTATAAAAGGATAGACAAGATTAGACGGCTCACTGTCCAAGCATGAAGTTCCCGGTAGTGTTTGTCGTGGCCTTCGGCTTCATCTGCCTGACTGTCACCGATGCTGACGAAGAGACCGGTAAGTGTACTTCAGTTGCACTTGTGTTCTTTCAGGATTCCTTCAGTTAACTCTACAGACTCATGCTTGATTAACAGCAACCAACTGAACCAACAGACAATCAAGCAAAAGACAGCATTGGGGGAAAGGAACTCTTAGGTATTTTAAAACCGTATATAGTTTAAAGTTCATGATGTATGTTGAAATGAATTAATTCGGAAAAAAAAATGCCCCCACCTCCCCGACGGGAATCGTGAAGAAATGCGAATGCATTGCGTAGCGTTCATAGGGGCGTTTCTCACGCGAGAACCCAGCATTAAAAGAATAATGCTCTTTTTTCTTACACCGTGCCGCCAATAGCGCCGTTCGACACACGAGGAGTTTCTCTGTTGCAAAAAACGTGGTATGCGTTTCCAGCCCTAATTTAAAAAATACTATGCAACATAGGGTTTCATACAATAATACCTAGAGGGGAATCTGGCGCTAGTGTCTACGCGCACTACTTCAGCTCCGCTTGTACCCCCATGGGAATTATGGGCAGTACAGGCTTCGAATCTGCTTCAGATGAATTACATTCTTGAGATTCGCGACGCTTCTTTTCCGAGTGTAAAACAAAGTGATATGAACTTATATTTCATTGAAACTTACGTCATTTATTTGTACGCAAACTTTATTGCAAAAGAGTTTCGTTTCGAGGCGACAAGAGTGAAACCTGGGCAAATTTAACCACAGGGGTATGCATCGCTCTGCCATTGTGTTACAGAGTTGGCACCAAGATTCAATGATTCATTCTTTACAACAATTGAAAACAAGCATGCTTGCTTTTTCTCGAAAGTACGCATTATCTATTTATGGAAATAACAGTACAGTATTAAGTGAGAAACACTTAACGTTTCGTCTTCTGCAAACCTAGGTGCGTCAGTCCAAGTGGTCTGCCCCCAACGCACCTCTGGTTCTCTTACACTGTGTGTTCTGTTATGAAGCCGAGTCAGCGCAGCCTGACGGTGCGTCCACTTAGCTTCGTCAACGTTTTGCAGTCGACTTAAATGAGTTTAGGCAAGACGCGCTTGTGAAAAAAAAAAAAAACATGAACTCGATGGAATATCCTGCACAGGTAGAGACGCTACATCTATGCACAGCAGTAAGTGGACGATGCCTCGTTTAAACTGTCAAATACGACTCCTAAATCTCGAACATCACAGCTAAACAAGAGACCTAGTGTTCTTCAGCCTTTTCGAACACGAAACACGGCTTCAGCACTTTCTACCACACCCCACTACCCGCACTGCTAGAAGAACGAAACTGAAACTGTAGAAAAAGGCGTGTAGACAGTTCGCTAGGTAACCCTATATAATCCGAAGCCTGTACTTCCCATATTTCCCATGGGGATACACGATCGCAGCGCCAGATTCCTCTCTAGGTGTCATTGTGTAGAAATCTATGCTATACAGCATAGAGTTTCTCACTATTACCTAGATAGAAGTGAGGCGCCACCGTCTAGGCGAATTTCTTAAGGGTGATGTTGGACCACTGGGAATGACGCTATATGTGTCTTAGAAGCTTGTGTTGGCTGGTGTTGAGCGAGGCTTTGGCTCAAAAGCGAATAAGACTGCTTAATTAAAGCTTCTCTGTAGCAAACGTTATTAGGGGATCTCATTCACACGTATTATATTCTAAAATAAATGTCCACTTTCCTTGACGGCACAGCCAAACGGAGAACGAAAGAAACAGATGACATAAACGTGGCGAAAAAAAAAAAAACACTCGCTTTTTTGTCTGCCTGCCAAGTTTAGCGGACGTTGGTTACTTCTCACGCTTCGTAAAGCTGTACATCAACGTAGAAGGTTTTAGTGTTAAATAGAACACGTTTTTGTGCAATGACAAAAATAAATAGCTTATTACATGGACTTTTTAGTAAGAAATCAATCAATTTAACGTGAAGCCAGACGAATCTTTGAGGTATACGAATCCGAGTCAAGTTCAAAGCTCACGTATCTCGTCAATCCTTTGCATTCAGCAGCTCACTAGCGCCAGATTTCGCTCTAGGTGTAATTGTGAGAAACTGTATGCTATGCAGTGAACAAAACAAATAGCATTCTTCGCTCGGCGTTGGCGTTTCAAAGTGGCGTCTCGAGCACGCGTTTCCGGATGTTCGTGAGGGGCGCCTAACCAGCGAATGGTCGAGAGCTAGGTGCGAGTGGACGGGAAAATGGGGCGCAGGGAGGAGAGACAGCGAATGGCGATAGAAGGAGCAGCGAACCACTGCACCTGTCATTGTAGCTGGCGAACATAATGTCAGCGTCTTATCAACACAAACGCTACACAAACGTATAAATGCGTTTAAAACACACTGCATTGAGGTGGTGGCAAGTCACGTTCAAGTCAAGGAGGTAGAGGCCCCGTTGCTAGGGTTGAGGATAAGTGCGTGCTCCCGCAGCTGTTGCTGACAGCTGCCGACGCCGAAGCGTGACATTGTGGGAGCTCTAGTTGCTAGGGGCGCGCGCGCTCGCAGCTGTTGCTATGGGAGAGGGTGGTGGACGGATCCCGACGGACGCCTGACACAGACCGACTAAGAAATGCGTTCGCATTTAAAACACGCTTTACATTGGTAGGATGAATCCACACGCACAACTTTCAACTACGCCTGACACAGACCGACTAAGAAATGCGTTCGCATTTAAAACACGCTTTACATTAATAGGATGAATCCACACGCACAACTTTCAACTACGCGGCTGATGTTCTAACAAAAGAGATACATAGGCCGTTCCCACCTTCTCGCCTCAGGCCACTTTATTATTTTTTATGTGCGGTTAATACAGTGTTAGCCAGCGCCCCTCGTAGCCCAACCGGAAACTATAGAACATTTCTGGGAGAGGACGTGACGAGTGATCTTCTCGAGGTCACAGATGACCAATAAACTTATGCATGCCACCTAAGGCTTCTAGTCTGTCGGGACGAAGCCCTGCTATGAAAGTATGAAAGGCGGGGACCTGTTAGAGGGCTAGCTCTTTTGTTAGGTGGCAGCAATAAAGAGAACCTACAATTGGGCAGAGGAAAGTATAGGGAACATAGGGGAAAGCAGGAGCAAGGAGCACGCTCTCATTCCTTCAAATATGTTGTGTGTTCCGCCGGGGTAATCTATTCGATATTGATTACAAAAACGGCTGCCCTTTCAATCTTAAGATCCTCGTCACTCTTGTATTGAGTCTCCATATATGTATGAGAAAGACATGTGTAAAACTTCCTTTAGGGAGTAACGTTAACCCTCTTCCGAAAGACCGTGGGACGCATGATATTTGGAGAGTCTATGCACGACTCTCCAAAAGAGCGTCAACGTGTTCCCCTAAGGGTGAGAGCCAAAGGACATATTTTTTCCCCTAGAGAACTTCCTGTTGGATTCTTAAAGCTTATGACTTAACGTCTCACTACTTACAGCACAAGGGCCCTTAAAGCACAAGCCGTGCGGTATTCACGAAGAGTTCAAGGAGTGCCAGAGCAGCAGCTGTGGAGAGTGGCGCTGCGGGGAAGTGCGCGGTGCCCTCAGGCCTTGCACGGAAGACTGCCGGAACGACTGCTTCTGTTCTGAGGAGTACAACCGACATCCGAACGGCACCTGCGTACCGCAAGACCATTGCCCACCTTCGGCGGTCGATCAGTCGGAAGAACCTCGTGGTAAGCACGCATCCTGCGCATTTTACCAGACATTTCCAGCACGGTTTTACAGTGTATTATACCGGTGGACAGATTTTCATTGGCACCCGGTATAGCTTTGGGGGTACACTAAGGTAAATATTAAGTCGACGTTGATTGTTGAAATAGTCGTCCAGAAACCTCATAGTGCCAATTTTGCACGATGTGCTTATTTTGAAATAAAACCTCGCTTCAATGGTGCGCATCGCGTTAGCCCACTTCAAATAACCCGCGTGAAAGCGGCCTCGTGGACGTCACTGTTTACGTGCCGAACGTTGCCCACCTTTACTACGCCGCCAACACCAGTGGCAGCAGAGCGGACGCAGCGAGAGTCTCAGTAGCAACAAGGGTCATTGAGGACTACTGCAATATCCGGAGGCCATGGTTCTGCTTGCTTGGTTGAAGTGGGCCCTGCCAGATGGCACCACCTATCCAGTCTTATCGGGCAAAAACTGAAGCGAAAAAAGAGATATAATTTATCAGAAGCCTGAGAGGTGAAAATTGAAGCAAAACTGCTAGCCTGCCTATTTGGAACGAATTCATGGAAGTATTTTGCGCGAGACACACTTTCTTATCCTAAGCAAAGTTTTTTTTTGAAAAGTATATCACTTGTTACATTGCGCTTGTCCGTGTGTCTCCTTTCTACGTACCCGCGTGTTCCACGCTAACTACTTCCAGGAGAAGTAGTAAACTGTAGCAAAAACAGTACTTATGAACCACTTGCGACCTTCTCATTAGTTACGCCAGGCGGTTCTTGTTTCCACCATTCCCGTCAGACACCGTACTTTCAAAAGAATGCCATTGTGAAAGTAGAAAAAAAAAACACCGCCACACTTCTAACTCTGAGAATGAGAGGGTGAGGGAACTCGATATGACATGATTACTGGTATAATTAGATAAACATTGCCTGATTACTGTGAGTAAAGTCTATTTTCTCTGGACCTGCCGGCCATTTTCGCTTGTTAGGCATAGTCAAGGGTCTCCCATTCTGCTCCCCAGGTCAATCTCGGCGAGTCGCACGTCACGACAAACTCTCGAGCGAGTCCTTCTGTAGCGGCGAGACGGCGTCAACCGGATTCTGCAGAGTTCATTGCTACACCGAGTAGGACGTCGGTGTAGAAGCCGTCAAAACAAACGAAACACCGCGAACAATGCTTCCCGTCTGGTTCATTTGCCCCGGTTTTTGTATTAAGTTATCAGGACGTCCGTTGCGCGTTTCAATTTGCTGCTTCCTTCGGCAACGGCACGTGGCCCCATCGGCACTCGACACCATGCGACAATAGTGACGCCATGTGATCACCGCGTTCAATCAGGGAGAGAGTGGCCGAGCAGTCGAGACTGTCCTATCTTAGGAGGTCATTTCCGGTGTAACTCATTACTGTGCGACAGCATGAGTCGTATGCGATAATGCTTGCAATGACAGCGGTGTGAGCAACACGTTGAAACCATACGAGAATGCTTGTATAGGGAGATATGAGCTACTTCCGTTGCATTCCTCGCGACACCCCGTCTGCGCGAGAAAGATTGCAAGCTCGTTTTTTTTCAGCGGCATGTTTGATCCCCGACATCCGCTGTGCCTCGGCGAGCAAAGAAAAAAACGCGATCGTCGATTGACTCGCACTATTTGTAGTGAACGAGTGCGAAGACGAACATCAGCCATGAAGAGCCTCGTGGTCCTGGTGGTGGTCTCTGTAGCGGTGTGCTTGGCTGACACAGGTATAAATACTTGAAGTTTAGCGTTATCCTGGCATAATTAACAGACGCACTGCGTTGATACCCGCTTGCTGAGTCATGCTGCTGTCAACGTTCTCTTGGTCGCACGCTCATGAACAAAATAATGTTTCCTTGTTACTTCAGGAATAAGTAGAGAATAATTTAATTCCGATGGTCCTTGCTATAGGCCCAGGGTCTATTGAATCAAACTAGAGACAAATTAAGAGACGGCTCAACCTGTGTTAGAATGAAACAAGATAGGTGTGAATCTATAAGAGAGAGCGAAGCAGAAGCGAAAGTTCGAAAGGAGGCGGGGATAGGTGACTTTCTGTACTTGACGCTTTCAGAAGAAATCAAGTCGATGAATCAATGCGGTGACGTAAGGTTGACCGCCAGTGTTTTGTTACAGCTACGGACATGCGATAGCGCATTTATAGCCGGTTATTCGAAGAACGCTTTGTGGTTCCGAACGTTCACTGACCATTTCCGTTTCCCGATTAGATGGTGCTATAGTTTCGGTTTCGAAGGAGGAAACTACTGACGGATCCTTGATTGTCTGTGTGGAAACCGAAGACGTAATCTACGCTACATCTTTCCACCATCTTTTGAAAGTGTGATGAGGAATGTATAGCCGAGTAAAGTTCACTGACAGAGCAGTCTGTTTGAGACCAATGAGGTGTTTCTATCGCAGAAGGTTGAGAGCCGTCCACAATAACGTGGCGAAGATGTAATAACACTTGAAGCGATAAGCGTTTTCTTTTTTTTTTTGCTATACCCTACGCTAACGATGACGTTGATGTTCATTATTTGTTAGTGCAGGCACGCGTTAGCACATGTGATCGTTAGGTAAGAACAAACTCTTGTTGCATTTGTGATGTTGTTAATTCATGGTGCTTGTAAACACAAAATCAATCGATATATGAACGAACGAAAACCTAAATTTTGTCTTACCTTTGGTGCATATCTATGTTACTATGTATGTGTATAATATGCGCACTTTTTCACTGCAGCGTGGAAATCAATCAATCAATCAATCAATCAATCAATCAATCAATCAATCAATCAATCAATCATTAAAAATAGTTCATAATGTAGATTATATTTGTTGCCAGTATGCCTATGTTATGGCTACTGTTTACAGTATGAAATCAAGCAATCATTCAGTGAATCAAGCAATCAACCGATACCACAGTGGTATTTTGCCGCCAGTGCATTGTTTGCATACCTACCACCAGGCTGCTGATAAAACGTGTAGATACTCATGTGCACGTCTATGGTATTGCTGTCACCTTGCTCAGAAGGATGAAAAATAAATAAATAAATAAATAAATAAATAAATAAATAAATAAATAAATAAATAAATTGAACAGTGCGAAATAGTACACTGCACACGGAGAACACAACGCTGCCCCATTTTTTCGCGATCTTTCACAATTAACATTGTTCATGAGTAGACTAGCCCAGCTACGAACCCTAATCAATCTTACGTTTGGCGCACGTGCGCAGATGGTGACAGCGGTGTGCCGGTGTTCAAGTTCCCGCCCGATCCCGCTGACTGCGGCACGAACGAGGTGTGGAAGCAGTGCGTGAGCAGCACGTGCGCCGAGACGACCTGCACGAAGCGCATCGTGGGTCCCGGGTGCACGTACGACTGCCGCTACGGCTGCTTCTGTGCCGATGGATTCTACCGTAACGCGGAAAGGAACTGCGTCACGGTCGACCAGTGCCCGTCCGCAGATCCAGATCTCGGTGAGGGGGGGAGGGGGGAAGGTAGGGATTTCTAAACAGGAAAAATGAAAACTGAGCGCCGAAACATGTCTGCATCAAAGTGCAACACCTCAGCAGTACCTCACAAGGAAAGGGATAAAGATTGACTAAGAGAGATAGAGAGGGAAGTAAACATTGAGATGTTTACTTCCCTCTCTATCCCCCTAAGAGAGACGGTTAGAGGATTCCGTGAAAGCGGGGTCCCGATCGGCGAGCTGTCGTCGAAGAGACGACATCACGGACGAGAGGACCACGAAATCCGCCGAGTATCTGCATCGAAGTAAGATGCGGCACCTTATTGTCGCCTACCTGATTATTATGTTTTGGAGAGAGTGCAAGTTTCGTGAACTCGTCGCATATGAAAGGCATTCAATTTTGGGCGCGGAAAACTACGGAAGAAAAGAGCTCAATTTATTGTTTGCCACAGCCGACGAACACCCAAGCCATGGGGAAAGCCGAACACATATCGAATGTTCTTATTGCAATGTGGATATGATGAAAAAAAAATTGGCAGGTCCCAGGTACAGTGGGAACCGATGATATGCGAAGCACGAATGAGAAATGTTGATATGTCACTTTAAAATCAGCACAACGTTATGAGGTGAGGGTAAACAATGCTGTACATGACTTCCGTGTCACGATTATCATGTTTGGATGTCTCGTTTACCTTCGTCATTTATTCACGTCACGTCATACCAAATTTAGTATATGTGGAGCTAGCGAAACAGCCGCTAGCACGCTATGAGCGTGATATGTTGTCATGTTCTTACATGACACACGTGTAAGGATTATCATAATTGCACCAGTCATATATTTCGTCATCCATTGACTTCACGTAACACCAAGTTTGGTATATGTGGTGCTAGAAAAACGGCCCACGAGCGCATCATGAATGGCCCAATGTAGCGTTGACGCGCGCACACGCTGGACACAGCGACGCTATAGCGTTAGCAGAACGCGAATTGACCATTTGCGGGAAAACCACTGCGCATGAGCAGTAACCGCACAGGTAGCGTTCCTGTACAGACGTTTTGGTTTTGGTTGGAAAACATCAGCCTGGCGTTCCATCAATATGACCCGTAGTAACGGCGAACACTGCCATTTTCACGCAAACACCGTACCTCACAGACGGTGCACAAGCCGTCCTCACTGAACCTATAGTTAATCGACAGACATTTCAAGGTTCAACTTCAAGTGTATAACATAATGTTCTTCTTAAAAGAGCAGGCGTAATGAGCCTGGCGAACCGTCCAGGTAGCGGAGTGCAGGTATCACCTCACTTGGTTATTTCTCAGGCTGAAACGCGAGAAATTCTTGTTTTACACCGTGTATACAAACGTAAACAGAATGTTTTTCTCCTTTACCTTCTTGTTTCAGTAACGGGCATGCGTTTTTGGTCCTAAAGCGACAAAAAGCGTTTTGTTTTCCAACCAAAAGCGAAGCTTTCCTGTTTACACGACAGGGGGCGCTCACTTTTCCGCAAATGGTTGCTGCGGGAAAGATAAGGAAACGGCGGAGCATGTTCTGATTGAATGTGGAGATATCCACCCAGGTGTACGTTTGGGCACGAGCCTACAGGAAGCCTTGGGTTTTAAGGACACCAATGGAAAGCTGAACACACCCGCGATTGAAATAAGTAATAGACGGTTAGAGTATTGGTGGCAGAAAATTAGAGAGAAAGGACAAAAATAAATATTGGAAAAATAAAATATGGACAGTGTGCCGTAAATGGCAGAGAACTTAAGCTGAAAATTTACCTTTTTTTCCATTAAGATAGAATTTATCGAAGTAGAGGCATTAGGCCAACATAAAAAAAAAAAGAAAAAAGTTTTTTTTTTTGTCGAGCCTGGTGGCATACTTGTCACCACCCCGTTATAAAGGGGACGCTCATAGCATCCATCCATCCATCCATGGTCAATACTCTGTAGTATTAGGGCCAAACCTCATAAGCGCGAAAATGCACGCGACAGCGACAAGCGACGCGACGTAGATCGGCTTCGCGCGATCAGTCGCTAGCGCAGGCAAACCTCATTCACGCGACGGCTTCGGCGAGCGAATTCCACTGTCTGGCATGAGGCCGTCTACTCGCACCAAGAAAACCGCGTAGCGAGCGGTATGCAATTTAAAAATAAGATATATTGTTGTGTAATGGAACGGAAAGTGTTTATTATTGCCTTGCAGCACTTTTTTATATGCACATGCGTAATAAACATTGCGTTGTTTCTTGTTGCGCATACGTGACTCGGGCAGGGTCACGTGCACCTATGTAGTCTTTGTCTTTTCCGGTTTTTCGCTATTGGCTGCTTGAGCCCAGCACTTCCGGGCGATGAGCGATGGTTTCCAAATCTGGAGAACCGAGCGATCACGCGAAAACGGGCACGCGACACGTCGCGCGAACGCCCTGTTTCGTCGCTCATAGCGTCGCTCGTCGCTGTCGCGTGCATTTTCGCGCTTATGAGGTTTGGCATTTACGCCAGGCGCGATCAGCGTCCGTCGGCGCGGCCCGACGGCAACCGGCGCGAAATGCGACATGCTGCATTTCGCACTGATGCGTCACCCAGACAACACTGCGTCTCTTCCTGTTCGTGAAGAAGGCACGCCGGACGAGCTGAAACGCGCATGCGTGAAAGCAACGCAGCGCGTGCCTGCGAGTATATGGCAAGACCGGCGCCTGGCGTCGCAACGCCGTCGTGACGCGACGAAATGAACGCCGGCGAGCACGCGCACCACGCCACGTCGAAATGTATTGGAGCCTTGGCTGTGGCATGTAGTCATGTTTTCACATGACACACGCATCTAATGGTTATGTTTGCACCATTATTATACTTTCGTCATCCATTCGCGTCCCATATTACAAAATTTGGTATAAGTGATGCTAGCGAAACGACCGCCAGGGCATCATGAACGTGGCATGTAGTTATGTTGTTACATAACACGCATCTCATTAATATCATATTTGCAGCAGTCACATACCTTCGTCATCCATTCACGTACTGTAATACCAAATTTCGTATATGTGACGCTAGCGAAACGGCTGCGAGCGCATCATGAGCGTGGCATGTAGTCATGTTGTTACATGACACGCATGCCATGATTTTGATGTTATGGTCTTTCGCATGTGTTCTCCATGCAATGATGTCATACCATGCCACTTTTGCAACATGCCATGTGAACAAAACCGGTGCAAGGGCTGCAGGACCATGAAATGTCAATCATGACATTGATGACAAACATGTCATGATTTTGAGGTTATGACAGGTCAAATCTGTTCTTCATACAGTCATGTTGCGCCATACCAAGCTTGGTATCGATACCATTACCCAAACGGCCAGGAGAGCTAAAAATCGTAGGCGGCTAGATGATCTATAGATAGATACGCTCAATGTCGTCGAAGTTCGCTAAGAGATGCTTCGCATTTAATATTAGTGGCACTTACAGTAAGTCATGTAAGACAGGGTTTAAGACAGAGTGTAAGACGGTCGTGTGAGACAGCTGTTGGGCACGTAGCTTTTCCTGGCTTCGCTAAGCCTTTGTCTTCGCCCACACCACTCTCTTTCACCCTTCTTGCTATATCATATTGAATAAGGCTACGCTAGCACTGATTCTCTTTTTGTTTCTATTTCGATTTCGTTTATTTCTCCTTATTGCTATTTATATTGGCCTCTTTCTCTCTGCCCCTCCTCCCTTCCATTTCGAACTCGGGTCTGCTGCGTTAGAAATGTAAGAGAACAAGGGCAGACTTTCTTAATGAAAAGGAACTTGGCGCTGCGTATATAAACATTTTTCATGTGACTATCTGTTTTTTTTTTGCGTGAGTATGTTTCTTCTCCTTCATTTGCTTTCCCATTCAATCTCCTTCTTTCTTCCCTCCTTTCCTCTATGTCGTAAAAGTGCAAAAGCGCCATATTATTATGAAAGATGCCGAAGTCCCCAAGAAGCAGGCAGGCGTTTTGCCCCTATTGGTGACAGTTGTCAGCCTGTTCCTTCCCAATTTCTTCTGTCTTCGTGTTTTATATGTACACTTACCAAATAATCATAATCTATGTACACTACCACTTAGTTTATTTTTTGATTTCTTTCTGTGGTATGCGTTGCTCTCTTCCCTTTTTTTCTCTCTACGCTTCTTCCTCACCTTCTCTTTTGTTTTTTAACACAGCATGACCTTCTATGCTATACCATGCAATGATGTATGCTGTGCTAGCGCGCCTGGATAGCTCACCTTAGAATTGAGGGTATAGACGCGGGCTCGAAGCTCTCTTCACCAAGAAACTACTTTGCCGAGAATTTCTCTTGTCCTCTTTCCTTCAACCTCTTTCTCTCTCTTTGTACTCGTTCTGTCACACATCCAAGTTACGACATACGACTCCGGATGAATCGGTGCGCCGGTTCTGGGAACGAAGTAGAATAGGAAGAAGAGAAAACGTACCCGTTCGTGATGAGGACAATTTTGTTTAATCGACACACGGAAAACCTCGAGCAAGACAGCTCCACTGTGTATATATATAAAAAAAAAAAAAAACGAAAGCGAGCATGCAAGAAAATGCAACTTGCCTAAAAGGGAAATTCTCGAGGTGGCCACCATGGCGGGCTTCTCTGCTTTTCCTGCGATAACTCGTACTTATTCCCCCTGTTCTCGCCACTTTCTCTACCATTTTATTTTTTTAGTTGAGGCAGTTCATTTATGTGACACTTTTTCTTCCGTCCTAATGGTCAGTAGGCTCTTTAGATGCGATTGTGTCATCGCTCGTGCCTTCAAACCGCGCGTTTCTGAGTGGTGTGATGATGATGATCATGATATGCGGGGTTTAACGTCTCAAAAGCACCATAATATTATGAGAGACGCTGAAGTGTATGGCTCCGGAAATTTCGAACACCTGGGTTTTTTTAACTTGCAACCAAATCTGAGCACACGTGCCTACAGAGATTACGCCTCCATCGGAAATGCAGCCGCCGCTGCCGGAATTCGATCCCGCGACCAGAGGGTCAGCAAGTGAGTACCTTAGCCACTAGACCACCGTTGTGGGGCCTGAGCGGCGTGTGACACTGAGACCTATGTGGCATCGCGATTGTCCTCATACCTTTTATGGTCACCGGCATTTCATTTTAATCGCAAAAACATAACGCAGGTAATGTTTCCGTGCAGGCTCAAGCCAGCAGTGTGGAACCAACGAGGAGTGGAAGGTATGCGTGAGCAGCTCGTGCGCCGAGACCACCTGCGAGAAGAGGACCATCGGCCCCGCCTGCACGGCCGACTGCCAGCGCGGCTGCTACTGCTCCGACGGCTTCCACCGCAACAAGGAAGGAGCGTGCGTCACCGCAGACCAGTGCCCGACGGTGTAACGAATGGACTGCGATACGCTCACCGGTAAGAAGTGTGATGCCGTCTTTCTCCGAATGTCCAAACGTGAAGGGGAGCTCATGGTTGCGGGAAGCCATAGCGGCGAAAACACTGGAAATGAGGAAGAGAATGGAAGCATGGGCGTCGACATGAAGGTGTTCAAGGAGCACTCGCTCCCATCAAGGCCACATCAGCCATTGCCCCTAACAACAATCTGCCCCTTGCCCAGCCGCGATGCAACACGGATTTGCCCCCCCCCCCCTCCCAAGAAAAAATTCATGACGACGCTCATTGACCGGACGTGCATCACTAACACCGTCCAGAGAGAGAAACATTGATTGATTGATATGTGGGGTTTAACGTCCCAAAACCACTATATGACTATGAGAGACGCCGTAGTGGAGGGCTCCGGAAATTTAGACCACCTGGGGTTCTTTAACGTGCACCCAAATCTGAGCACACGGGCCTACAACATTTCCGCCTCCATCGGAAATGCAGCCGCCGCAGCCGGGATTCGAACCTGCGCCCTGCGGGTCAGCAGCCGAGTACCTTAGCCACTAGACCACCGCGGCGGGGCGCAGAGAGAGAAACAACGTTATTTATCCCATTTAATGGAAAAGAGGCTAAAAGAAGGCAAGGAGTGTAGTAGGCCTCCTATACCACCTCAGCTCACCTCATAATAATAATAATAATAATAATAATAATAATAATAATAATAATAATAATAATAATAATAATAATAATAATAATAATAATAATAATAATAATAATAATAATAATAATAATAATAATAACTGAAATTTCATATCACAAAACCACCATATGATAATCAGTGACGCCGTAGTGAAGGGCCCCGGAAATGTTGACCACCTGGGGTTTTTGGCGTGCGCCTATAACCCAAGCCTTAAGTGTAAAGTTCTAGCGGTGCATGAAAGCCTGTTGCAGCTCTCGACTACTTTAATGTTTACGAAATCTCAGCGGAGGGAAGTGATTTTTTACACTGCCACACAATGTGGCAGTGCAGGTCCACTGTTCTGACTACATTGAGTTGCTAACAGCGCAACTCCTGTCTGCTTCCTTCGCTCCTGGGTTTTTAGCGCTATGGCTTTGTGAAATTTACCGAACCAATGAGCTGACCCAAAAGTCTGTACTCTTGGAATTCACGTGTGAGAGCCGTAGAGCCAAAAACAAAATTGATAAAGAAATAAGGCTGAATTCATCGCAAAGAGGCGAAGTAAGATTTCAGAATCTACATGTACTTTCTACGTGTAGCTGTAACACACCATCGTTTATAAGTGTTCGTCCAGTGCTCTCGACCTATTGATGTTACCTCGTAGACGTCCAGATTTACGCATTCACACGCGTAGCTTCCAACACTCTTACGTTTTTGAGCATTGTGTCAGCGTCCACGAACAGAAACATTTCTTGTGGTTAGTGTTGGAATTTGCGTGGTGCACAAGCATTGCTTGTCGTTAGGAGTAGCACAATACACATCTAAACGAAACTATTTCGCAATGAATTGACCATTTCCAGCATGAAGAGTGAGTGAGAGAAACACTATTGGAAAAACAGAGATTTTTGCCGGCGTCTGTATATCGCTGGTATGCTACTTTGTACAGGGATGAGAAAGCGGACTAAAACATTTCAGCATAGAGAGAAAAAAAATCTAAAAAAAGTTGTGACCAAGTGAACTTGACAAAACTATTTACAATTAGGGTGTCAGATAAGTCAAGCATGAAAGCATGAAAGTTATTTTCTTTACGTATTGTGTCTGCTTTTATTTCGTCTGTTCGTGCAATGCCATATCTGTGTTTATCATTCATGTCCAGGATTTCTATGCGCGGCCCGGCTTTCCGAAGCAAAGCATGGCCGGACCTCAGCGGACACCTAAAGCTTGGAAGAACAAAGAATGGTTACCTAACTAATAAACGTGTGAAACAGCAGTGCGTTCAGTAGATGGACTGTGTGGTTGCATATGTTCTCGCTGCAAGTGCTGTGAACGGGCTTTGTGAACCCAACGTTTGTTTTTCAGGCTTTAGTGTTAGGGGACACAAAAAGCAAGATAACTTGCTTTATTCCAGATCAAAAACGCAGCTAATGACGGTCAGTAACGGCTTTGGCTTACGTTCATCGGGAAGTGCAGTTACAAACCAAATATAAAAGCGCGATGCAGTTGAAACTCCACTGAACGAAGTGATGAGGGCGCTCGAATAATTTCGCTAAATCGTAAAATTCATAAAATAGATGATACAACTTATCAGTCCTTCGAAATTTAAACTTGTAGATAGGCGTTGCCGAAAGCTGCTGTGGCATTTTATTTACTGCTAATACTTGCTTGCAAGTGTGAAAAGTCCGCGAGGGCAGCCCAATCATAACTTTCTTTCCCATCAAGGCAATAGAGGCGATGTAGATGGTCACATGCAGTAAGGTACGAGAATCTGCGAATGTTCAAATACAGGAAACACGAGTGCAGGTAACATGCAGACAAGCAGAGTAAGTCAGTGAAAGCTAGTAAGAGGCCATCAGTACCATCTGTCGCTCGGGATATTAAAAAAAAATCACAGCATATCCACGGAGTGAATGACGATGAGTGTGGTGAAGCGTACGTCCATCCGTGTGTCCAATCATTCGTGAGTCCGTTCGTATGCCCGTCCGCCCATCCGTGCGTGATTCCATCCGTTCATCCATTTGTGCTTTCATCCATCCGCCCGTGCGTCCATCCGTCTCTGCTTCCGTCCACCCGCCTGTCCGTCCATTTATTTCATCCATCCGCCTGCCTGTTCCCGTTCTGCTATCTATCTATCTATCTATCTATCTATCTATCTATCTATCTATCTATCTATCTATCTATCTATCTATCTATCTATCTATCTATCTATCTATCTATCTATCTATCTATCTATCTATCTATCTATCTATCTATCTATCTATCTATCTATCTATCTATCTATCTATCTATCTATCTATCTATCTATCTATCTATCTATCTATCTATCTATCTATCTATCTATCTATCTATCTATCTATCTATCTATCTATCTATCTATCTATCTATCTATCTATCTATCTATCTATCTATCTGTCTGTCTGTCTGTCTGTCTGTCTGTCTGTCTGTCTGTCTGTCTGTCTGTCTGTCTGTCTGTCTGTCTGTCTGTCTATCTGTCTATCTATCTATCTATCTATCTATCTATCTATCTATCTATCTATCTATCTATCTATCTATCTATCTATCTATCTATCTATCTATCTATCTATCTATCTATCTATCTATCTATCTATCTATCTATCTATCTATCTATCTGTCTGTCTGTCTGTCTGTCTGTCTGTCTGTCTGTCTGTCTGCCTGTCTGCCTGTCTGTCTGTCTGTCTGTCTGTCTGTCTGTCTGTCTGTCTGTCTGTCTGTCCCTCACACTAGCACCACCTGCTGAGTGAGTCATACAACCAGGTGGTCACGAACCGGCCACATGAGACATGCATGAAGAGACCCATGGTTTAGGAGCTTCGCTCCTAAAACGAAAGCAACGAGCGCGTTCTTCAGAGATATTTGCAGGCACAACAAACCAGTAATAACGCCGAGCGCAATTTTATATGTAACACCACCACCAACTGCGGCGTCCAGCCTCGTGTCGTGACAAGGGAGGCTGGAAGTTTGAACGCGCTTGCGTTACATCGCACGTCCGAAGGAAGGCCATGTGTGAAACAGTTAGAAAAAGAATATCGCTGCATTTCTGCTAATTTATTTCCGGAAAAAACTTTGTTAACTTGAGCTCAGTGCCACAAAAGCTTCGTACATTCAAGTTAATGTCAATATTGAACCATGTGGGTACTTCCCGGTGAATATGTGTTCCCTATATGCAGAAAGTCGTAAACGTAAATTTTTTAGAATGAGCTTTAACTGCACACATTTTTTGAAGAAGACACGTACATAAAAAGTAATATAATAATACTTTGAGTTTTACATACAAGAAAAACGACAGGGTTTGGAGGGATGCCGTAGTGGCAGACTCCGGAAAATTTGACGATCTGGTTTTTTAAGATGCACTAACATCACACAGTACACAGTCTTACAGATACGTTTGTGGTAATAAGGAATAGGAAGTCCAGCTCTCCTGGTAGTCCAACAATTGTGCTGCATTTTGAAGTGTGCTGAAGTTCTGTTTTTTTTTCAATAATTGACTACAAAAGAACTTTTAGGGCCCCTCGAAGACAAAAAAGGCTTCTAATTATGGACGCAAGAGTTCAAACGCGAGCTAATACGAGACATTCTCTTTAGAAGTGAATATCTAAGTTCAAGCGACGCCGAAAACTTGGGGAAAACTCAGATTGCGTTGAAGAATATATTCCGGCAGAGAGGCAGCCATGCATAGATGATGAAAGTTCCAGAGACAGTGAGGATGAAAAAGTTGAACTTGGATCTACTCTGCTGAGCGAACAAAAACAATGACACTAGGTGATGATGACATGTGGGGTTTAGCATCCCAAAACCACCATATGATAATGAAAAACGCCGTAGTGGAGGGCTCCTGAAGTTTTGACCACCTGGGGCTCTTTAACGTGCACTCAAATCTGAGCACACGGACCTACAGCATTTTTGCTTTTATAGAAAATGCAGCCGCCACAGCCGCGATTCGATCCCGCGACCTGCGGGTCAGCAGCCGACTACCTTAGCCACTAGACCACCACGGTGGGACAATGACAATGGGTGAGGAAGCGCCTGAACAAAATAGAAAAAAATGAGAAAACAAATTAGAAAGACAATGCAAGAGAAACCAACTATTTCAAACTTTGCATGTCTCATGAGAGCTTTTAAGAGTTCAGTGCATGGTTGTTCAATTGTCAACTCCAGGTTCCTGGCTACAACAAATATGAAAATAACAAAACTCCTATAAAGCGCACAAGCATTCGTTAAAGCTTAGTTTTTTCCATTTTTTAAGTATTACTTTGAACAAAAGACTGCCTGGAAATATCTTACTCGGTTTCGTTCATTGCGCAGACTGTATGTGGGAAATAAAGGGTTAACATTCCAATATCACAATATAATTAGGAGGGAAGTCCTAGTGAACACCTTCGGCAATCGCGACCACCGTGGGATCGTGTACCTAAAAAACTCGCGAAGCTGGTATGTGTACTCTGCGGGCTATAATCGAAACTGCAAGTTGCTACACATTTTCACAAAAACGTGGCGTCTCGCAAGGACGAACCAGATTGATCGCGTCACGGACGGTCCGCTATATTCACTGATGCCCAAAACATACTAAGTGGTTTGTTTTCGTGTCTTGCTAACGCGTTAACACTGAGGCTGGCATAGCTGAACAAGGGAGTGACTGCCTTCTGACCATCCTCAAGAGGACGCTCCTGAACTCGGTGTGGCGGAACGTCAGTCTGTGAACATTGCGAATACCATCACGGAGGCCTGCTGCTGTTCGGTTTTCATTTGACACAGAGAATACTACGGAGGCGGAAAAAGAATTCGATTGTAAATCCTGATGTAAAGCAACGCACACATATTCAGGCTGGTTAGTAAGGGTGAATCGGGGTTAAGACGTCTTTGTGTGAGGCAAAAAGTTCTAGGCTTCTTTTTTGGTGACATTTGCCATTTCATCATAAAAGGTCGATCTTGCATGTTACATTTGCTGGGAGCTTAACTAACTTTGTTTTGCTCCAAACTTATCAGAACGCGTGTTTTTGTGGAAATTAATGCCGGAAGCTTACTTCGCACATCGATTCCTTTAAACTCGCTTTTTTTCCAGCATACCTGCACACCGCACAGAGTCAGATCCGTGCCCGAAATTGCTTTTCTCTCACACAAACCGGCTGCGCGGGGTGTATGCCTGTTATGTGCAATGTATATCTCCTCCTCCTCCTCCTCCTCCTCCTCCTCCTCCTCCTCCTCCTCCTCCTCCTCCTCATCCTCCTCCTCCTCCTCCTCCTCCTCCTCCCCCCCTCCTCCCCCTCCTCCTCCTCTCTCCCTCATTCTTCTCTCCCTCAGTGTAGGGTAGCAAAGTGGACTTAGTGTAGTTGACATCCTTACCTTTCTGATATTCTTTCTCTCTCTCTCTCTCTCACACACACACACACACACACACACACACAGCGCGCGAGAGAGAGAGACGCAAACACACAGACGCACGCTCACATAAACACACACACGCCCGCACGCATAGACACACAAAGACACAAACGCACTCCCACACACGCACACAGCACGTGCACACAAACACACCCACAGATACGCGCGCGCGCACGCACACACACACGAACCCCTCCCCCCACACACAGACATAATGGGAATAGCATGTAGTGCGAGAAATCTTGCGCAACGAGAGGTTTGTTTGAAGTCCCGATCACTGCGAATAGCATATGGCCTAATTGAGCTTCATTATAAGAAACAACGTCAACTTCGAAAGCTGCTGAGGCGTGCATGTTGCCCTACGGGCGCGTATTGTTTAGTTCGCTAATTCGAATTGTGTCGTAATGGGAACCTATCAACAGAACTTGCGGTAGGTATTTCTGCAATAGTTTGAAACGGCCAATTTACACGCGCAAAATCATTAATTTTCTTGCAGCACGATAAAGGTTTGCACAGAGAAGCGAATGCCGGCTAGCGATTGAGGAAGTGATGCAAAGGGGAATATCCCTACCCTGTTCTGATCTTGAAGGCGAAGCCAAAGAGTCCTCGAAGTTGTTTGTTGTATTCATTTTATAGGGTAAGACGCGTCTCTGCAGGCCGCTTTCATGGGAATTTCAGGACGCGTCCTGTAACAGCATTGACACGTCGCACAGAGTGGTAACTTTAGTGATTACCTGCCATATGATGCGATATTCTCACGAGGAGACACGCCGAATGCGGTAATGAAGTGTCCGAGGTCGCTTGGCCTCCCTAAAGGAATATCACCAAAAGACATTACCTCATATGACTCTGTGACGTTTTTATAGCTTTGTTATGATTGAAAAGCCGCTTTACTTAGTGAGCATTTGTTGCTTATTCAAAAAATAAGGTTCTACCCACCGTTCCCGTCAAACACCGGACTTGTAAACGGATGCCATTGTGACATTAGAAAAAAAAAACACACTCACACTTCTAACTATAAGAAAGAGAGAAGGAGAGAGAATTTTATTGATATAGCATGATTACAGGTATATCGTGATAAACATTGCTTGATTACTCTGAGTGAAGTCGCCACGCCGACGTGGTCTACTGGCTATGGTACTCGGCTGCAGGCCCGCAGGTTGCGGGATCGAATCCCGGCTACGGCGGCTGAATTTTCGATAAAGGCCAGAATGTGCTCATTAGGCGCACGTTAATTAAACAACCCCTGGTAGTCGAAATTTCCGAAACGTCCCACTACGGCATCTCTCACAATCCTGTGGTGGTTTTGGGACGTTAAACACCACATATAAATCAATTATTGTGAGTGAAGTGTATTTTTTCGAGACTTGCCGGTCATTTTGGCTTGTTAGGCGTGGTCAAGGGTCACCCATTCCGTTGCTCAAGTCAATTTCGGTGAGCCGCACCTTTCACGACAAACTTTCGAGTGCGTCCTTTGTTAACAGCGAGACGGCATCAACCTGATTCTGCAGAGTTCATTGCTACACCGAGTAGGACGTCGCTGTAGAAGCCGTCAAAACAAACGGAACACCGCGAACTATGCTTCCCGTATGGTCCATATGCCGCTATTTTCGTGCAACGTTATCAGCCCATGCACTGTGTTTCTATTTAATGCTTCCTTCGACGACAGTGCGTGGTCCCATCGCCAATTGACACTATGGAGAATAGTGACTGCGTGTGATCATTGCGTTCAATTGAAGAGAGGGCGGTGGAGCGGTCGAGACTGTCCTATCTTTGGAGGTCATTTCCGGTGTAACTCATTACTGCGCGAACGCATGAGTCGTATGCGATAATGCTTGCAACGACAGCGGTGTGAGCAACATGTTGAAGCCATACGAGAATGCTTGTAAAGGGAGATGCGAGCGACTTCCGTTGCGTTCCTTGCGACACCCCGTCTGTGCGAGAAAGATTGGCAGCTTGCTTTTTTTTTTCTCAGCGGGACGTTTGAGCCGCGACATCCGCTGTGCCTCGGCGAGCAAAGAAAAAGCTCGAGCCTAGATCGACCCGCATCATTTATAGTGAACGAGTGCGAAGACGAACATCGGCCATGAAGTGCTACGTGGTCCTGCTGGCAGTAGCTGTCTGCGTCGCTGACACAGGTATATACATACTTGAAATTTTGCCTTGCTGTAGCTGATCTGAGAGGCTCGGGTATAACGGAAGAACCTAGAAACAAAGTTATGGAAGGAGGGAACTGCGTTATGATGAAAAAAGAAAAGAAAAACACGGTGACCATAAATATAGGAGCGAGAAAAACAGCAGCATGCGGGGTTTGTGGCATTCTGTACTTGATGCTTGCAGAAGAAAGTCGAAGAATCTACGTGGCGACGCGTGTAGGGTTGATAACCGGTGTTTTATTACATTTACGGATATAGTGATAGAATATTTATAGCCGACTACGTGAAGAACGTTTCGTGGTTGCAAGTTTTCACTGATCATTTACGCTTGCTGACTCAAAGGCGCTATAGTACCGTTTATAAAGGAGAAATGTACTAAGAAATACTAGAAATTTAAGATAGAAACCCAACGTGTGGTCTATACATTGACTTTCAACCATATTTGAAAAAAGTGGCGAGGAATGTATAGGCTGGTAAGACAACGGGTAGCAATAGTCGATTTTCGACCGATGTGGTGTTTCTGTCGGCAGAGATGAAGAAGCTGAGAAGCGTGTCAACTTGAGCTTCATGCTACACATTGATGAGAAACAAAACAAAAACAAAGCCACGTGATAACTAAAAGGGAGAAAAAAAAGAACACAGGGCAGAGTGCTGACCAAGGAGGTTCAAAATCTCCACGGCGCTTACTACTAACAGCTGAGATTATTTTTGTACTTCAAATATATGTGCTAGAGAAAATAAAAAAAAGAAAGCCAGAAAGATAGCGAAAGACTTTCCTGACACATGCACACAAGCTTTGCTTTTTGATATAAGCGTGGATCGCTCAACTGCGAAGGTAGTTAATCTATTTCTCAGTTAGGGCAAGAGATGTGATAGAAGTGAAGAATGATCCACGACAACGTCGTGATGATAATTGAATAGTTGCAACCATAAAAGGGTTCCTTATTTTGTATATGAAATACGCTAATAATGAAGTTCATGATTGGTAATTGTGAGTGAAAGCACACGCTAGCAATTGTTACTTGAAGAAAAGGCAGCAAGGACACAGTATGTGTGAAAGAAGCGGACGCCCAGAATGCAATTCTTTGACTATGTCCCGTGTTTCTGGTGGTTTTTATTCAAGTGAAATTAACCATCTGGCACGCATCTCGACTCTTCCGCTATCAAAATCGTCAGTTGAAAAGCAACTCTTGGTGGATGTGTGCTGTTCCCACCGTGTTGCTTTTAAACATGAAATCGACTAATCAGTTAACAAATGAAAGACCTAAGGTATGTCAACTTTGGAGCATCTGTATGTAACCATGTATTTTAGTATTTATAGGCACACTATTTAAATGAAGCATGACATGAACGAATGAATCAATCAAGCAAACAATACAACCCACAAATTGAAGAAAGTGTGCATTACATTTGATGCATATACATGTGTAACCATGTGAGTACATGTATATCTTGTGACTTCGCTTTATGCTAGAGTGTGAAATCAATCAAGCAATCACTCAGCTAGGCGTACAATGTTGAGCAAGCACCCCCTCTCTTTTTCGGGAAATCTGACATACGCGTGAATCACCGAACAAGTGCCCCCCTTCCTCACCCTCCTCAATTACGTCCGCGTTTCTCTCAAGACTAGAATCACTTGTGTAAAGAAAAACCCCAGAATGAGAACACTGAATGCATATTCAATACTACTTATCAAATCCTGTTGTCATGGGGCAAGTCGTATACTGTTAGTTAGTTAGGCTAGGTTTTATGGCGTAAAAGCAACAATCGCTATGATGTGCCCGACACTAGGTGAATTCTAATGATAGGGTTAAAATGTGAGGGGGAAAACAGATTTTCATTTACAGTTGCTTTAAAAAACCGGCGGCCTTTAGAAACAGAAAAACGTCCTCTATGGGGCGGATTGCGTTTTCTGATGGTATTAACACTGGGTGTAGAAGTAGTCGTATATTGGTCTAAACGGTCACTGCTTCAAGTTCGCGACACTTTCGTCAGCTCACCCTGATTGAGATTATCAAGAAGTGAAATGGACTGTGACGCCATCGGTGCGATTGTTCCTGTTCCCAGCTGTATTCACATGACGCACGAAATTGTGACTCGGCTTTGGGGATAACGTTATACGTCACCATACATCACCCATTCCCACGTCCCCACTTCGGTCCACGCAGAACGATTCGTGAAACGACGAAAGCCCAAGTCACAGTTGATTGATATATGGGGTTTAACGTCAGAAAGCCACCATATGATTATGAGAGACGCCGTAGTGGAGGGCTCCGGAGATTTCGACCACCTGGGGTTCTTTAACGTGCACCCAAATCTGAGCACACGGACCTACAACATTTCCGCCTTCATCGGAAACGCAGCCGCCGCAGCCGGGATTCGATCCCGCGACCTGCGGGTCAGCAGCCGAGTACCTTAGCCACCAGACCACCGTGGCGGGGCCCAAATCTCAGTCGGGATTCTCGGTGGGCAATGCGGAATTTCTCGCTCGTAGCGTGAATTCTCAAAGTGTGAAATTGTAGTGTGAATGCCGGTTGTGGAGGAATCCTGACGACGCCACATGTCACGTGACTGCTCTTTCCGCAATCACGTTCGTCGTGTGAGTACTGCTTTATAAGTGTTGTACAGTAAATAAACAAAGCATTTAATTAGACGCATGGATGGGCATTTTTTATTTTTGAGGCTTTCTCGCCGCCACCTTGAATTTCGTCCCGGAACCGAGGAAGCGCCGCCCCCCCCCCCCCTCCTTCCCATAATTTCTTCGGATTATCTTCCACCATAGAATGGGGTGACTTTCTCGGCATTTTATGGTAATTATTCAATCAACTGATAAATCAAAATTATATTAGCATAATGCACTGTATACGCATACCTTCCATCAGGGTGTTAATGATAACCCGTCTTTAAACTTGTGCGAGTCTATGGTAATGATACTGGCTAGCTCAGCAGCATGAAATAAATAAATAAATAAATAAATAACAATACGGTAAAACACCACAAAAAAGGACAGCGCACACACAGGGCTAAGTGCTGTCCCGTTTTTTACGCTAATGTTCCACTATGTCCCTTAACAGACTAGCCCACGTAGGAACCCTAATCTTTCTTGCCTCTGACGCATGTGCCCAGATGGTGACAGTGGCGTGCCGGTCTTGAAGTTCCCGCCCGAAGCCGCCGACTGCGGTTCGAACGAGATGTGGAAGCAGTGCGTAAGCAGCTCGTGCGCCGAGACGACTTGCACGAAGCGCTTCGTTGGTCCATCATGCACGTACGACTGCATCTACGGCTGCTACTGCGCCGATGGATTCCATCGCAACGCAGAAGGAAACTGCGTCTCGTCTGACCAGTGCCCGCCCGAGGAACAAAATCTCGGTAATAAGCGGGGCGTCGTGGTTTGGTTGCGTTTGATAGTTCGGACAGGGCTGCAGAGGAGGCTAGCTTGGCACGAAGGCGCAATCAACTCGTCACATATAGCTCTGTTCAAGGCGGGATGTGGCAACAAGTAGGACGAGTGAGCATGAATGCTTATTAGCCACATCGGACGAAAATACAAAGAAACCAGGAAAAGCCCAAGACATATTAAATATCACCGTTTGAATGAAGATCTGCGCAAAAAAAAAATGCGCAAATTACATTACGTCGTGCAAAGCTGGGCCATAGCAGAGATGGTGGGCAACGAGCTGGTTATGGCGTCGTTGAGGTTTTGCCCTCTCATGCTCCCCTCTCATCTCCACCCTTTGTTGCACTATACTCTATAGGACTGTGCTGGCCCTCTTTTGTGACTGTTCATTGCCATTTCTTTGTCTTTCTTGCTTTTATCAGATTTTCATCCTGTTCTCTCTGTCCGCCTTCCCTTTCATACCCGCTGTTTCTCTTTCTTTCTATGCTATGTTTCATTCTCTACCCTCGTCCTTTCCTTGCAATCTCTTATCTGCCCGCTCCGCATTCGCTTCCCTGTTTCACTTTTTTTCCCTTTAGTGCATAGTTTTCTGTACTATATACTAAACGAGAATATATGACCGGCCAGCGTGCTTGGAACGCAGAGCTGTTTCGACGCTCGCGTTCGGATCGTGGGTACGAACAACCAAACCTCACTTCGCAAAGGAATCTCCTTCGAAGAGTTCGAAAAAAGAGAGATTTATGTAATATTAATAACTGCTGGAGTTTCACATCTGAAAACCACCTTATTATTATAAGAGAGTGGAGGCCTCCAAAAATTTCGACCATCCTGGGTTCTTTAACGTGAACCTAGATCTAAGCACTAGCCTAAAAAATTTCGCCTTAATCCAAAATGCCACCGCCATGGCCGGATTCAATCCCGCGACCTGTGGGTCAGCAGTCGAGTGCCTTAGCCACCAGACCACCATGGCAGGTGAGAGAGCTATCTGTACCAGTTCTCTCGCCCATCGAAGTTATTGCATACTACGCCGGACGAATAGGTGCGCGGGTTTCGGGAGCGGTGACGAAGGCGAGAGCATGTGCAGGTTCATTATGAGCACAATGTTCTTTCTAGGAGAGCCAAAAAAATGGCAGCATATCCACGGGGTGAATGATGGAGAGTGGGGAGAAGCATCTGTCCGACTATTCGTTCCTGTTTCTGTACGTCCATGCGTCCGTCTGTGTGACCATGTGTGCGTTCATCCGCCCGTCCGCGCGTGCGTCTGTTCGTGCATCCGCACGTCCACCCGTGCGTCCGTCCCTGCGTTCGTCCATGCATCCGACCTTGCGTCCGTCCACGCGTCGATCAGTCCGTGCAGCCATCCATGCGTCCGTCCATGCATCTGTCTGTGTGTCCGTTCGTCCATCTAGTCAACACGCCAAGTACCACCATCTCGCATCTTTTCATCATATGTTCCGCCTATAGAACCACCGCCATCCAGCGGACATTCCAAGTACTAAACAAGAGGTGGCACACGCACACTTTCTTACGGCTTGCGTTTCGTGTCTACTTCCCACCTTTAACCACCTCGAGTTCATAGTGTATACTAGTTCACTGTATTCATGGCACTGTGGCCCAACGCTCGCTACACCTTTCTAAAACCCAGGAGGTTACGCCCAGCGAGTATAACGTAGCAACCCTTTCTTGTCAGATAGTGTACAATCTCAATGTAAATGGCAATGGTTGCTAATGGGGAATGAGAGACTGGAGAATTCGGCTTTTAGTTAACGCGCACGCTGCGAATTTTTTATTATTTATTTATTTATTTATTTATTTATTTAGTATACCTCAGAGGTCCCAGTCGGGGTATTACATGAGGGATGGGCATAACTAGCAACATATTAACGATTCCATCACGGTATTGAATACATGTGGGTCGGAGTGGTGCATGGCGAAGGCAGGCAAGTTGTTCCAGTCCCGGGCGGTTGCAACAAAAAAAGGAGCGAAGGTGGGCAGAAGTTTGTGCTGGCGGTGGATGAACGGCTCGGGGATGGTTTGTACGGCTGGATAATCGATGAGCAGGCAAGATGGTTGGAACGTTGAAAGGAGCGTGATGAAATTTGTGAAAAAGACAGAGCCGAGATATATGACGACGTGATTCTAGGTTGTTGAGGCGGCCACGAGTTTTAAGTTCGGAAACGCTGGAATGATAAGAGTACACGGAGTAGATGAACCGGGCTGCGCGATTTTGTACAGATTCGAGAAGGTTAGATAGATTAGATTGATGAGGGTCCCAAACCGAGCATGCGTACTCCAACTTAGGGCGAACAAATGTGGTGTAAGCTAACAACTTCACTGATGAGAGAGCAAGTTTTAAATTCCTACGAAGTAAACCCAGCGCACGATTAGCGGAGGATGCTACGTTGTTAACGTGAGTGGACCAGGTGAGGTTGCTTGAGAATGTTACGCCGAGGTATTTATAGGATTCTGCTGTTAAGATTGTAGAGCCCAAAATGGTGTAAGTCGCTTGCTGATAATGTTGCTTACGGTGAAATAATATTAGCGATGTCTTATTTACGTTTAAAGACATTAGCCAGTCGTTACACCAGGATTCAATAAGGTTAAGGTCGTTTTGAAGTATAGCAATATCGGTAGGGTTTTTTATTGGATGGTACACGACGCAATCATCTGCAAACAGGCGAATATTTGATGAAATGCTAGCTGGGAGGTCATTTATATAAATTAAGAAAAGTAGGGGTCCGAGTACTGTGCCCTGTGGGACGCCAGAGATTACGGGAAGATGGTTAGATGAATGGTTGTTAGCGTACACAAATTGTTGCCGATTAGTCAGAAAACTACGAATTCAGTTGAACGTCGATGTATTAATGTTTAAGCAAGAAAGCTTGAGGAGTAGCCGTTGATGCGGAACTTTGTCAAATGCTTTTTCAAAGTCTAAAAAGAGGGCATCGGTGGGTATATTTAGGTCAACGCTAGAGCTGATGTCATTGTAGAATGAAGCAAGTTGTGTGTCGCAGGATAGTCCTGAGTGAAACCCATGTTGACTATGATGAAAGAAGTTGTGGCGGTTTAAGAACTTGACGGTGTTAGAGTAGATCACATGTTCCATTAGTTTAGAGCAAATGCTAGTGAGCGAGATGAGACGATAGCTGCTAGGCTGGGATGGAGGGCCATTTTTAGGGACTGGAACAATCTTACCCACTTTCCAGTCTTCCGGCACCACTCCTGAAGACAGTGATTGTTCAACGACATACAGGAGAAATCTCCCGCCGGCCCCACCTTACAGGTCAAAACGTAAGACATGTTACGTACTACGACGAGGGACGAACGGGTGCCGCTTTGAGGAGCTTCGCCCCTAAAAACTCAAGCGAAACGGTTCTGTTTAAAGAAATAAAAAAAGAACATTCAGTGACTACTTAAAGGCAAGTCGGTTATAAAGCGATATGTTAGACTAGCCACCATGGCAGGTTGTTCGGCCTCTCCTGCTATATATAACTTTTATCAATTCACGCAGTTCTTGTCGTTTTCTTTGGCATTTGATCACTTTAGTTTTAGCCACAACTATGGAGAGGCACTCTCAAATGGTGCTGCAGAAGCCTTTAGTTGCACTCCGAAATGCAAGCTCTGTGAGCGTGGTTACCCCCCAGGTAACCATTGCTGCAGCAAAAGATTCCACATCCCATACATCGTGCGACGTCGCAGGAGACAAAGGCGTAACCACTCTGAGAAAGGAGTGAATCCCGACGAGGTTAAGGACCCCGCGGAACTGCAACCGGAGATGGCAGAGGGTTCCGTTGCCAAGCGCCGCTTCAGTTGCAGAGGGGGCTCCCGTTCCAGGGGGAGCCCCCGTTCCAGGGGGAGCCCCCGTTCCAGAGGGCACCCCCGTCCCACAGGGCACCCCCGTGCCAAAGGCCACCCCCGTGCCATAGGATACTCTCGATCCAGTGGGCTCTCCTGTTCCAGGAGCCAATTAAGGTCGAGATCAATGTCGGCCGTGGATGGCGCTGGGTCACTGATATGGCGTGGTCAAGCTCCAGCTCCAGGCAGCTTGACACGAAACAAGAAAGTGACCTGGGCCGACACAATTGGCGACAGCGGCTCCGCAACGACAACATCGACAACATCAAAGCAAGGTAAGGCACAGCCAGAGCATGTGGAATATCTGTGAATACACACACTGGAATGGGAAAACAAAGGACTCAAACAGGAACTAACTGAACTGAAAGCAACTCTAGCCAGGCTAGAAGAGTGTATCTTACAAAACACACCGCCTCCCATCACTCAATCATCAAGATCCGTGGTGACATCGTGTGGCCTACACAAAGCAGGGTCTTTGGCATCCAGATAGATGATGACATATTCGACGTAGACGACTTTATGTCGGTCGTCAGCGGAGCTCCTTCTAACGCCTCCGCTAGTGATAACAAAAAAAAACACACCGCAAGATGAAGAGTAATTTTAGTAACTTTCAATCGGCAATTCCTGAGACTAGAGGCGCTCATGCAAATCTGTGGCAGGATCGATCACCTAGAAAGACCATTCGCTCAACCTGAAGCCACGACAACAATTCCCACGCCAGGCTCGGACTCCATGTCTTCCCCGGGACGCAAAACTTCGCTGCCCACACCCTCTCAGCCAACAGAACCAACAGGTGAAGTTAACCCTCAGGGGGTCATACCAAGTCAACACCATGGATAGCTCACCGCAATTTTTGAAGATGTGGCAATAGAACTGTGATTCATTCAAAAAAAGGCAAGCTAGCCTAACGCAATAAGTTAGATCATGTAAAGAAAAGCCGCATGTGCTTCTCTTACAGGAGGGGGGGGCGGAAAAAACATTCATACCATGTTCTCTGGGTACACAGTTTCCAGGCCAACCCCGAAGCCCAACTTCAAACAAGCCAGAGTAATCGCCCCCCTCATCCTAAAAAAAACGTAAGCTTTATGGAAAGGGACACCCCAACATACAAAAAAGGCCTAGAATCTATGCTAACACAAATCATTCCGAGTCGAACCCTCGAAGCCCACCTTTACATACTAAACGTATACAGTTGCCGGACTGACAGACTGAGGATTTTTACCAAACTCCTCACATCGGCCACGTCGCCAGCAAAGGACAGGCCATTGATTGTTGCCGGCGACTTGAATGCGCGCAACATCTTGGGCTACGCGACCAATGACAGGATAGTCTTAACCTTGCGGAGTGTGCGGACAACCACGGCATAAATTTAATCACGGGCTCAAGCCTCCAGACACGCAGAGGCAATTTTGTTGAGTGGGACACCACCCCTGACCTGACGTTCCTGGAAAACACGGAAGGGTCGTAAAGAAACCTGCAAGAGGACGTTGGTAGTGACTATTTTATCCTAGAAATCAACCTCTGTATCACACCCGATCCGCCCAAGACGTATAAGTACGTTGATTGGGATTTTTTTCCAGGAATGAGGGGTAGCGAGGACTGACAAAGAGAAACCTTCGAAGGGTTACTGGAAACTCTGAAAGGAATGTGCCTGCGCAGTGTGCGGACAACCACGGCATAAATTTATCACGGGCTCAAGGTTCCAGACAAGCAGAGGCTATTTTGTTGAGTGGGACACCACCCCTGAACTGACGTTCCTGGGAAACACGGAAGGGTCGTAAAGAAACCTGCAAGAGGACGTTGGTAGTGACTATTTCATCCTAGAAACCAACCTCTGTATCACACCCGATCCGCCCAAGACGTACAAGTACGTCCATTGGGATCTTTTTCCAGGAATGAGGGGTAGCGAGGACTGAAAAAGAGAAACCTTCGAAGGGCTACTGGAAACTCTGAAAAGTACTGTGCCTAAAGACCCTTAAGAATTATCCTTGGACCTGCAGGTGCCAGCCATGGGCTCCAGACTCACACACCTTCTGGAGGCGAAGAACGCGGTGAGAGAACGATGAAAAAAGCAGAAGATAAACAGGAGGCTGATATCTAAACTAAAGGAAATAAACATAAAGAACGAAGAACTGTTCAGAAAGCTGAATGAAGAGCAATAGGACGATGTTTGTAATAAGGCGGATGGTAAAATGAGAAGGATAAGCAAGTGAAGCCTTCTTAATAGCCTATTCGCAGACAGCAACAAACTGACAAAGAGCAATGCCCGGATGCTGCTCGATAGACTCGTTCTTCTACACAATAACGAACGCATTAGTTTCAGAGACTTTGCTAACACCCTGGCCGGCATATCTCTGCCAACAGAGAGCAAATCAGTCGCCTGAAACGACCCGACACGTGAGTACTAGGGGACACCTCAACACTCACTGAATCGTCTATTCGATGTCTCAGAGATTGTGCATGGCCTTCATGGCCTAATAGGCCTCTTGGTCTCTGGTCCAGATGGACTCACAACCAAACTGTTCAGAAATCTATATGACCAAGCTATCCAACTCATTACGAGTAAAATAAACGATGCATGCAATGCAGGCCTGGAACTGAGAGAATGGCGAGCTGTCAATGTAATTCCCATCCCGAAACCCGGGAAACCACTCCATAGCGAGAATTCGAGACCCATTTCCCGTACTTCGTGCCACAGGAAGGTCGCCGAACATGTCATTTGCAATAGAATTGCAGAGCGGAAAAAAAAAAAAAAGAAAACAGCCTTTTTCGCCCCAGTATCATAAGCTTCCAAAAATCAGTATCAATGCAGGACGCCAGGCTCCTAATCAGGAGTGCCATCACAGACAATGAATGTAGAGCCGTAAAAGACAACCTGGCGCTCGACCGAACCAAGGGCTTCGAAACGGTCAAGCATCTATACATTTTAACAAAATCTCAACTTTGGACCGCGGAGTAAAATTACACAACTATGTCAATTGTTTTTGGCTGACCTAACGGCCACCATAAACACCGAACAAACCAGAAGCAGAAAGCTCAAGCTGAGAAACACCGGACCCCCCCCCCCCCTTCTCCAAAGGTCACTGCTTTCGTCGCTTCTTTTCAACATTGCAATGCACGATCTGTTAAACCAACTCTCGAAAGTCCAAGGGGTTGGACAGGCCGATTTACACGGATGACATTACCATATGGTATGCAAGCGGCCCACTAGGCATTCCGTTGCAGAACCCACAACATGCACTGGACACCACAAACGTTCCTTCAAATACGGGGCTGAAGCTATCGCCGAGCAAAGCAGAGCTTCTTCTGTGTAAGCACGGTCACAGGAAGGGACAGCTCCTTAGCTTCCTCCCCGTTCACCTACACATCAAGGACGGAGGCAATGTCCCAAGATGTAACACAATCAAGGTCCTGGGCATGGTCATTGGGGCTTAGAGCGGTGACAACGTGGAGGCCCTCAAACGTTTAGAGAAGAATGCCCTCAACTTCACCACTGTCATAACATGGGTATGCAGCAGAAGGGACTGTCTCAAAGAGGACAACGACATAAAGGTATTTCACGCCTTTCTCATCAGCCAAGTGGTGTACGCCACCCCTGTCCTCAACTGGAAGAAGACGGAGCTCAAGAAAATTGATACATAAATTACAACAGGATTGAAAAAGGCCCTGAGCCTCCCTCGCAACACTAGTACGGAATGACTTCTTCAATTGGGCCTACAGAGTACAGCTACCAATCTTTTTGAGGCACAGCGGTAGGCCCAGATTTGTCGGCTCTCACTCTCAAGGGCGGGCAACGAGATCCTGTTAGAAGCCAGCATTCAGACCCTCTTCATGCTACCAGAAAAGACCCAGTTTTGCACAAACACCACGAAAGAGATAATACTTGATCCAATTTTCAGAAACATACTCCCGACCCACAATGAAGGACGAAGAAAAGCAAGGGCAAAGGCCATACTCGCGAAGATCATGCACAACAATACACAGGTCCTTTTCATTGATGCTGCAAAATAATAGAATCAAGGTGCCTACGCAGTCTCCATCGTGGACACCCTGGCTCACTCGTCAACGCAGCCACGGTAGTTACCAACTTCACCAACGAAGCAGAGGAAATGACCATTGCGCTAGCCCTTAGAAGCTGTGCGGGAGCCTCTGTCATTTACTAAAGCTCTAGAATAGCTATAAGAACTTTTTCGGCGGCCCTAGTTTCTTCGAAGGCAGCTACGGTTGTTAACAGGCTCTTGGACTATGAGACGAAGGAAAAAAAATTTCCCGTCCTCACACATCGCATGGTTCCTGGCTCACATGGGAAACATTTCCGGCTTTCCTGGCTGCAACCATAACGAGTGGGCACACCAACTAGCGCGAGAACTCACTTTCCGCGTCTGAGGTCTGCCCTGTAGTTTTAATGGAACCTGCGGGAACCTCGACCACAAAGACCCACTCGTGTCATACCACGAACTAATATGTCATCATGAATGAGAACGTTGAACTTTTCTTCCTCCTTACACAAAGCTCCAAAGACCACAAGCAATCACTTACAGTCAGTTGCAGGCTCGTAAATACGTACATCGCACCAACAACGCTAATCAGGATCAATCCTGACTTCTTTTTGCTTGCCCACACTGTGGCCACGAATATAACAAATTCGTCCACATGCTCTGGATGTGCCCTGCCAACGTGGGCACAAGCTTTTCGGACCAGTCCTTATGGAACTCCACCCTTCGAAGCGCAGAGGCTGTCTAGAGGGCCCGGGCCATCGCCGAAGGACTCTGCCTACCGGCCCTGCCCTTGGTGGTGCCACCAGATTTTAACGCCAGAGCTTTCGGCACCGATTTCTTTCTCCTCAAGACCTCCATAATGTTCATACTCACTCACGTCACTGATCGTTTTCGTTCGAGCTGTCAAATCATCTTACAGTATATTTCGGTCTTAAAAGACAGTGGGCTTTATAGACCCGTTAGTGTCATCGTTAGGGCAGGTATGTTTTCAGTTCGGGCCTTCAAACATGATGTTTCTGAGCAATGTAGTCAGTCAGTCAGTCAGTCGGTCGGTCGGTCGGTCGGTTGGTCGGTCGGTCGGTTGGTCGGTCGGTCGGTCGGTCGGTCGGTCGGTCGGTTGGTCGGTCGTTGAACGAACTATTTCGATCGTAAGAAATTGAGTTATATGGAATCGCTATCGCCCTCAGATCTCCCATGTTCAGCGGACTACGTATGACTTGGAAAAGCGTGGTGCAGGTGAACGTATATTGCAGGCTCAAGCCAGCAGTGCGGAACCAACGAGGAGTGGAAGGTGTGCGTGAGCAGCTCGTGTGCCGAGACCACCTGC